AACCAGCAAAGATGTTTCCAATTCATTTACACATGATTACACATAATGTAATTCAAAATTGAATATTCAATCATATATTACAATGAAAGATCCTAACCAAAATCTGAATGGAGGGCTATTAATCTTGTGAAAAGAAAAAACTTGCCCAAAATCTCATGCAGAAAAATGCAAAGCTCGAGGAATTAAATTTGGTGATGACACACAAGCATCCAATCAATGAACGAATCCAAAATGAGTGTTATTTTAATGGACCCTTTTCTGTATCTATGAATTAGTTGAGGATGTTAGTTTCAAGAAATGGAAAAAACGAGAGGAGATTTGAATTTTAGAGAGCGTTGCAGAGACAGAGAATGTTGCAGAGAAAGACTTTTGAACAAGGCGAGTAGCAACAAAGTAAATCACTTAATTTAATCAACAGCCCTAACATTTAAATAGGCTAAGAAACTAACTACAAGCAGCTCATGGGCCGAAAATAAAGCCACTAGAGCCACGATCCAAAACACGTTAAAAAACTTCCTAAAGACTAGGACAACCCACTAAGTACAACTTAAATAGATAACCGTAGCAATAAGAAAATCACATGCGATTACGGAGCAAATTTTAACACGCCTCCTTGCTTTAGGAATTGCAAACTCCAAGTCTTTGCCTAAGAAATTCAAACTTGTTTGCTGGCAAAGGTTTTGTAAAGATGTCCGTGAGTCGATCTTCATATCCGCAATAAATGAGGCTCACTTCTCCTTCCTTCGCACTTCTCTTAAAAAGAAAATTTTGATCTTGAAATGCTTGGTTTTTCCATGAAAAACTCGGATTTTGGGAGATTGCAATTCGTTGCTCGATTGTCCACAAACACCTCCGTATCATTCGGTTGCTTCAAATGTAAATCATAAAACAACTTCCTCAACCACAATGTTTGATTCACCGCTCGCTGTAGCAACAACAAATTCGGCCTCTGCAGGTGGACCGTGCTACAATCTCTTGCTTCTTGGAACTCCATGAGAAAACTCCCGATCCTAGGCTAAAACAAGTACCCGGATGTACTCTTCATGTCATCCACGGATCCACCCCAATCACCGTCGGAAAATCCTAATAACTTGAAGTTTTGACACTTCTTGAATTTTACACCTAAGTCAATAGTTCCTTTAATGTATCCGATGACTCTTTTTGCAGCCTTTAAGATGCACTTCACTAGCACAATGCATGAAATGAGAAAGAATGCTTACCGCAAAAAGGATATCCGGCTCGGTTGTCGTTAGGTACATTAGGCAACCGATCATGCTTTTGAAATAACCTTCTTCAACTTTGTTTGTGCCGTCCTCCTTACTTAAGCTTTCCTTTGGATTCATTGGAGTAGCCATTGCCTTGCAATCCTCCATATGAAACTTTTTGAGAATTTCTTTGGCATACTTCTTTTGACATATGAAAACTTCATTTTCCAACTCGCTTAATCTCCATTCCCGGAAAGTATGTCATCGATCAAAGGTCCGTCATTTCAAAAATTTTCATCATTTCTCTTTTGAACTCTTCAACAAGCTTGGAGTTGCCACCTGTGATTAAGAGATCAACATAAAGAGAGACTATAAGCGAGATCATCTCTTTTACATTTCACATAAAGAGTAGCCTCGACATGCTTTTTGAAATCTTAGGCTTGACAAATGCTTGTCTATCCTGTTGTACCATGCTCTAGGTGCTTGTTTTAAGCCGTATAGAGCCTTCGAGCAAGTAGACCTTCTCCTCTTCACCTTGTTCCACATATCCCTCGAGTTGTTCAACATAGATTTCCTCCTCGCCAAATAACATTAAAAAAAAAATAGATTTTACATCTAGTTGAAACACTTTCCACCCATTTTGGGCTACTATAGCTAGCACCGACTAAATGGTATCTAATCTAGCAACGAGTGCAAATGTATCCGAGTAATCAATTCCAAAGACTTGAGCATATCCCTTGACAACAAGTCCGGCTTTGTGTTTGTTGATTGATCCATCCGCATTGAGCTTGGTTCTAAACACCCATTTTAACCCAATAATTTTTCTATCCTTCGACCTTTCAACTAGCTCCCAAGTCTCGTTCTTTTTGATAATTGACAACTCCTCCTCCATTGCCTTCGCCATCTTTAGTCTTTAATAGCTTCTTCAAAACTCATAGGTTCACAAATGGCCACATTGCATCTCTAATAGATATCATGGAGCGATCTTGCTCTACGAATTGGTAGATCATCTTCCAATTCTTCTTGCCATCGTTATGATGCTTGCTCTTCTCTTGTTTGGAAGGGAAGACTCAATTTCGCTTGCTCGTGGATGTCTCTTTTGTCCGTTCCCAATTCCACTTCTCATCTTCATTGAAAAACACATCTTTGTTGAAAATTATCTTCCCCGTTTGAGGTTGATAAACCTTATATGCCTTTGAGGAAGAGCTATACCCAACAAAGATGCTTGGTTCCGACTTCTTGTCAAGTTTATCACGCTCGACTCGTGGAATGTAAGAGAAACACAAGCAACCAAACACTTTAAGGAAATTGAGTGAAGGTTTATAGCCATACCATGCCTCGAATGGAGTTTCATCCTTCAATGCCTTGGTGGGTAATCTATTTTGCAAGAAAATGGCAAGATCTTAGCCGCTTCATTCCAAAACTTTTTTAGCAACTCCTTGTCATGTAGCATGCATCCGGTCATCTCCATTATGTACTGTTTCTCCTTTCACCGACTCCATTTCTGTCGAGAAGTGTAAGGAGCGATAAGTTGGTGTTCTATGCTAGCTTCTTCAAAAAATAGATTAAATTCGATGAAGTATACTCCTTTCCATTATCCGACCCGACAACTTGAATTTTGCGACCACTTTGATTTTCCACCATTTTTTTGAACTTCCGGAAAACTCCAACTACTTCGACTTGAATTTTAAGAAAAAAATCCAACACATTCTTGTAAAATCATCAATAAAAGCAATGTAATATCGATTACCTGCTAATGATTGAGTTCTTTGAAGACCGGATACATCCGTGCGGATAAGCCGCAACTTGTGAGTGGCTCTCCGGGATGACTTTGGGAATGGTCTTCGATTTTGTTTACTCGTATTAACAAGCATGATAATTCGGTAAGTGATCTCCAACGGTTGGTAAGCCAACCGTGAGCTCCCTTTCCTTCATAATCTGCATCCTTTGTAAGTGACAATGACCAAGTCGCTTGTGCCATATCTTAGTGTTGCTAGCTTCCGTAGAGAATGCGGCAAGTTCTTCTTTGATGGGATCAAAAGAAAAACTTTTTCCTTTCATTCTCACTTTAAGAATTTCCTCATTGTTGAGATCCAATATGTGACGAAAGTACCTTCAAAGATCACTTTAAAGAAAGTATCTTCAAAGATCACTTTAAAGCCTTTTTCAATCAATTGGCCTACGCTTAACAAATTTTGATTAACTTATGGTACGGAGAGAACATCGAAATTTTCTTTGTGCCTATAGTGTTGGTTATAATGATTGTCCCTCTCCCTTTGACAGAGATGTAATCACCATTGTCAATTTTGACTTTAGTAATGTCAGTTGGCCTCAAATCTCCGAAGAGTTTCTTGTCATTGGTCATGTGGTTGGTACAATCGCTGTCAATTAACCAACTTCCAATCAACCGCTACTTGCAAAGCAAGATGCTACAAAAAGCTGATCTTCATCCTCTTGTTCCGCTACTTAGGTGTCAACTTCCTGCTGCCGAGCTTTTCCTTTGCAAATTATTGCTTCATGTCCCATTTGATTGCATTTGGAACATTTTGCATCGAGTCTCCTCCAACATTTGAATGGAGGGTGACCTTCCTTTTCACAATGAGGGCAAGGAGGATATTTACCCTTGAAACTTCCTTTTTTGCTTCGTTGTTATTCAAAACGGGAACAAAAGAATTTCCCTCTTGGCCTTTCTTCTTTTTCTTTTTGTCGGCTCCGTGATGTTTTGCAAGTAAGGCTCCTTCGGTGTTGACATCTTGCCTCATATGTTGTTTTGCTCTTGTGCTCGTAGGGAATTAAGTAATTTCGCCAAGGAAATTTTTGACGGATCCCTAGTATTTTCTAAGGTTGTAACTCGTCGCTTCATATCTTTCAAGCACTCGTGACAAGGATCTTCTCTACAATCCTTGAATCATTAAATTCGGACCCGAGTAGCTCGACTTTGTTTGCAATTCCAAGAAGTCTATCCGAATACTCTTTAATTGTTTCGCATTCCTTCATCTTTTGCAACTCAAAATCCCTTATCAAATTTAAAACTCGCATTCCTCTTATCATTTCGGGTCCTGCATATTCTTCCTTGAGGTAATCCCACATAAACTTGATTGTCTTATGGGACATTATTCTTATGAAGATCGTTGATGACACCGTAGCAAACAAGCATGCTTTTGCCTTCAACTTCTTCATCTTCTTCTCCTTATGAGTTTTGATCCGTGCCATGGTGGGATTGTTTGGAAGTGCGGGAACATCATAGTCTTCTTCCACTCGCTTCCTAAAGATCCAAAGCTTCCAAGTATGTCTCCATGCGTATCGCCCAAATCTGGTAGTTATCTCCATCGAACACCGACGGAGCAACCGGGGAGAAACTTGCTTCGGCTTCCATGATGCGTCAAGCTACACACGGATCCCTCAAGAAGAGAGCTATGATACCAATTGTTAGTTTCAAGAAATGAAAAAAACAAAGGAGATTTGAATTTTAGAGAGCGTTGCGGAGACAGCGAATGTTGCGGAGAAAGACTTTTGAACAAGGCAATAGCAACAAAGTAAATCACTTAATTTAATCAACAACCCTAATATTTAAATAGGCTAAGAAAATGAACTACAAGCAGCTCATGGGCCGAAAATAAAGCCACTAAAGCCACGATCCAAAACACATTAAAAAATTTCCTAAAGACTAGGACAACCCACTAAGTACAACTTAAATAGATAACTGTAGCAATAAGAAAATCACGTGTAGTTCTGGAGCAAATTTTAATAGAGGAAAATAATGAACAGTGACACAGCTTTTGCCGGCCAGGTTCATTAGTCTGCTAAATTCGAGAATGTTAGCTGACGATGCAGTAGAGCCTTCTCATCGTTATCATCCAAATCAATGCTTTCACTGTTTCCATACTTGATGTCAATTTCGGTTCTTTTCTCTCCATTTAGTCCTGATTCTGAAATATCCAGTCGAGTGTGTTCTTCCCTCAAAGGAGAATCATCTACCTCTATTTGTTGCATTTCTGATTCTATCAATGCAGTCATCCTTGCGCACTCCCTGTCTCTTGGGTATGTGCAATAGAGGAAGGAGTAGATGAAACAACATATTGCCATTGGAATGCCGATTGCTGTGTACAGTGCCTTAGCTAGCGATGCAGCATTTTCTCTATCTGTTTCAACTTTGACATTGTCTGATGATTTTTTGGGAATTTGATAACCATAAACATACTGAGCCAAAATCCCAACTGCAGGGGGAGCAAATGAAGATAGCACAGACTCAAATGATCGATCCAACGCATAGATGCTCGTCCGAGATTTCTCTGGGACTATCTCTGCAAATATTGGACTATATACGCCAGTTAACATTATAATAGAATACAGATTAGACTTGGGAATGGATACTCTAATTTCATTATTTGATGCTTAAAGGGAATTAGGAAACTGATTAGTTCCCATGACTTCACAGCACATGATCTTTAACAAAGTGAATACAGAGGCAGAAGAAAGGCTACTGGAAGCGACATTTAGGATTTGAATGCTTAAAGAGACATTTGTCATTATAAGTGTACTGAAAAGCTATATTTCTTTATTTTCAGGATGCATTTATGTACAATAGAAAATCATAACAATGAGAAGGGGCAAAATTGATGGATCCCAATACGTACTTGTTTGTAGCTGGACCATTCCAGGATATGCAGAGTCCCATGATGAACAAGACCAGACCATGGATGAATCCTGTAGATGAATCATCAGGCAATACAAGAAGCAAAACTGCTGCCAATGGAATGCCTGAACCAGAGCTTATCTGTGACAGAATTATCCTTCCAGAATTGGGAAAGCGTTTAGCAAGGATATCCCCCATCCGTCCTCCAAACAGGCCACCAAGTGAGCCAGCAACTACAAAAAGCATCATGAGAAATGCTGTTTTTCCATGGGAGAAGCCTATAAGCTCTAACCACATAGGAGCAAATGATAAAGCTGACCAAGGAAAGGATCCAGATACACCTTGAGCCACAAGTATTTGGAATGATGGTATTTTTATAACTGACTTCGCTTCTTTAATTAGGTACTTTAACTCTGAGATAAAAGGCTTATGAGTTTGGTCTTTAGCTCTACTATTAGAATTAGAAAAGCGTGGATCGTTAGCAAAAAGGAGGACCAAAACACCAACTATTATACTTATTATTCCAACCAGATGAAAAGCAACTCTCCAACCAGGTATTCCCATGAATGTTGTTGAGGCTATTAGAACAGAACATAGCCCTCCGATGATAGAACCGAGGTTTCCTGTCAGCTGTAGCCATCCAAATGCCATGCCGCGATTGCTTTCATCAGTTGAATCAGCAACAAGGGATTGAATGGCAGGTGTGACTATGGCAAGTCCAATCCCATTTAGCCCTCTTGAAACTGCCACCTGATAACCAAATGAGAGAACATTAAATTAGGCATGAGCTCATGCCATGAAAAGCATGAATTCTTCTTTCATTATTATCTGTCCAGGAGATACGAACCACCAAAAATAGCAAGCTTCACATTCTTAAGTGTAGTTTTTCTTGCTTCTTCCAAGTTCAGTTTCAATGTATGCAGCTTGTCAAAAAGCTTCCTGATAAAAGTATCCAATTCAACCACAAGGACTCCTTTTCAAACCAGAAGATGTTTACCTTCATAATCTTCTTATATCTGCATAAAAAGTGAAAGAATGCAGCATAACACCTTCACATCTCTGATAAATACTTGAAAACAAAGACTACTTATTTTTCTTTCATCGAACTTCAGCTCCAAAGACATAGATATTTCTCCACCAAAAGCTTCTTGATGCCAATGATCTTATTCACACTAAAATTCTGGTCGTAATAACAAAGTTCTTGTACAAGAAATGTAATAAGACTTCTGACTAGTTTCCTTCACTACATTTCTCACAGAAAAACAGCATTTTTACTAGTCTCGTATCGGTATTCGTAGAATCATATCAATGACTGAATCACAATTTCACACTGCTCAAGACATTTTGGAATCCGTGTTATTACTCACCTTAAACTAGGACCGTCATACACTGAGTTGAGCCTGCAATATATGGCTGGTGGCAATAGGCCGATAACCATATGTATTCATCTAAGGCTCGAACTTGTGTAAAAGAGAAATGACATTCATGGAATACAAACCCAATTTCCTCATTTTATTTCGCAAAATCCTAGTATATAATTAAACGGACTTATACCCAACATTTCCCAATTTAGAACTTCTTCCTTAAAGTAAAACACCCCACACCAGCCTCACCAAGAAAATCATTAGAACCTATAGATCCACTAATGAAATCATGAAAAATAATTCAAAATAGAAAAATCTATTACACACCAACCTCATCTACAAAATACAAAAATGGGTCATTCACACTTACAACAAAGACATCAGAAACTTCAAAACTAGCACAACTTATAACCCCAAAAAAGAGAGAAACAATAAACAAAACAGAAGCTAATAAATATAGAGCGACTCGAAAGTCTCAAACCTGTAAGAAAGTAGAGGAAATGGCAACAAGGAAAGTGGCAGCAGCCCAAAGAAAAGCACCAAGAGCAATAACATGGGCACGATTGTAATGCACGGCAAGGTAAGCAGCTAATGGATAACAAGAAGACTGAACTATGGATCGAAACAAAGTTAATGAACCCAAACCAGTGGGGTCTGTGTGTAATGCTGCACCAACTTCTTTGTACACTCCTGGTAACAATGATTCGTCAGCTCTCTCCATGATTCCTGCTAGATTCACTAGCACCAATGTCAGTGTCTCTTGTTTCATCGTTGAAGTCTCTCTGAAGTCAGAGTCCTCTGTGTTTGGAACTGAAAAAGGCAGAGGATCCTCTGTGTTTCAATTTTTGTTCTGTTTCTTAGAGAGAGAAGAGGACTGGAGTATACCAAAATCCACTAATCGAGCCAAGCATTTCGGGATCTTGCACGGAATCCATAAAATTAATGTCTGATTGCCGCTAAAGACTTATTTACCATGTTTGACTTTAGTTATGTCCTTTTTTAAAATTCTATATTGGATATTTTTATTCCCTTCTTGATTTGATCTGCAATATTTTTTCAGAAATTTTATTAATTTCTATTTTTATTGGGAAACGAGGGCTGAAAGCCCCAAAACAAAAGGAAAACTAAACAGTATATGGACTGAGCTCCCAATCCAGGAAGAGGATCATAGAAAAAAGTAATAGTTTTTTTTAACTTTTCACCTAGGTTAAAAAATTTATTAATTATAATGTCATGTTAGCATTTTTAACACTACTTTTCTAATATATATATATATATATATATATATTTTAAAGAGAAAATCTATCTAAATTAATCATACATTATAAAATATGGATATTTTAAAAAAGTATAATATTAAATACTTTGATCTGATGAATATTTTGAGACATGCATAAATATAAAATAAGATAGGTTTTTTTGGGACGGAGGGAGTAATGTTTTATTTATTTATTTGTCGTAAAGATTATGTGTAGTTTGTTGAAAACATCAAAGTTTGTCAACAACTTTAATCTCATGAATATTTTGAGACACATATAAATATTAAATAAGATATTTTTTTTGGGATGGAGGGAGTATTATTATTATTATTATTATTATTATTGTCGTGAAGATTATGTTTAGTTTGTCCAAAACATCAACATTTTCAGCCAACCAGGTTCTAAATAATTTGTAATTAATTACCAAAAAAGGAAGTAATTTGTAATTAGACCTTAAGTGGGTTAGTTGCTGCTGGCTTTACTCTTTTGGGGGTCATTGCTCTTCGTGGCTTTAGGCTTACACTCATTTATACCGAGGAAGTTGTAAATGAAAAGATAGATATCGTAGAATCTTGTAACGAAACTAAAAACAGAAGGATGAACAAAAGCTTTCAAAAGAGAGCCTACATAATCTGCTAAGTTACTCATGCCTGAAAATTTGTAGTGCTCAAATAATAAGCATAATCACAAGAGAGTTTTCCTTGATCATAAAACTGAATGACATTTTTATAAATCTAACTCGTTGAAAGTGTTTAATGATGGTGCAGTTGTTTCCATTTTTTTTAGTTAATGAATTGAAGACAATAATTACCGGCCAGTAATCATCATCGATCTGCGCCGCCCCCGCCCCCCCAAATATATCAGTCTCCTAACCTCAGGATGTTGGTTTACTTGAAAGTAGAGCCTTTTCGTCGCTATCATCGAAATCCAAGCTCTCGAATTTTCCATATTCTACGTCAGTTTCTGTTCTTTCATTCCGATCAAGTCCATCGAGTCCTTTTGATTCTGAAACATGGAGTTGAGAGTATTCTTGTCCCAAAGCAGAATCATGTGCCTCTACTTGTTGCATTTCTGATTCTACCAATGCATTCATCTTTGCCCTCTCCCGGTCTCTTGGATACGACCAGTAGAGGAAGGAGTAGATGAAAACACACATTGACATTGGAATGACAAATGCCATGAAGAGTGCCTTGGCAAGTGATTCGGCATTTTCTCTGTCTGTTTCAACTTTGACAGAATCCGTTGATGTTTTGGGAACTTTGTAACCATATAAGCGCTGAGCCAAAATGCCAACTATCGGGGGAGCAAAAGAAGACAATACGGACTCGAATGAACCGTCCAAGGCATAGATGGTCGTTCGAGATCTCTCTGGCACTATCTCTGCAAATATTGGACTGTGCAAATATATGTCAGACAACTTAAGACCGGCATAATTAGTGCACTTGCAGATTGCAAGCTTTGAAATTTGTGTTTATTAGGGTCCTTTTCATGCTATCAAAGTTTCTACAAGGTTTACGCGAATTTCTGTAAGCCAAACCTAAAGAAGGTAAAGGATGATTTATTGTTTATATCATTCTGCAAAAGCTGGGTAAATTCTTTGGCTGAAGCTCTTTTGAGGCAAGCAACCTAGTCCACTGATCAGTTCAATGAGTTATGGTTTGTGTTTAGTTGTCTCTTTTAATAGCAATGAAACCATCTTATTTCAACAGCAACTAATTAGTTGATGACAACTCCCTCGAGTGCATGTTATGTGTACTATTCATCTGGGATCAATGAGAAGCCATGGTTTCTTCTATATATGCTTCTGATTCTCCACCATAGGCCCCTTCAAATCATAAGGCCAAAAAAAAAAAAAAAAAGAGGCAAAGTGTAAAGGGGATACATACTTGTTTGTAGCTGGAGCATTCCAGGAAGTGCAGAGTCCCATGGTGAAAAAGACCAGACCATGCATGAATACTGTTGATGGATCGTATGGCAATACCAGCAGCAAAATCCCCGCTAAAGGAATGCTTGAACCGGCACTTATCTGTGATAGCATTATTCTGCCAGAATTAGGCAAGCGTTTAGCAAGGATATCCCCCATTCTCCCTCCAAACAGACTACCAAATGAACCACCGATCACAAAAATGTTCAAGAGGGATGCTGTTTGCTTATGAGAGAAACCAATAAGTTCTAACCACATAGGAGCGAATGATAAACCTGACCAAGGGAATGTTCCGGTGACACCTTGAGCAACAATTATTTGGAAAGTTGGAATTTTTATAACTGAATTTGCATCTTTGATTAGGTCCTTGAGCCCCGAAATAAAAGTCTCTGGAGTTTTATCTTTAGCTCTATCTTCAGTATCGGAGAAGTGTGGATCCTTAGCGAAGAGACGGACCAAAATGCCAACTATCACACTTATGATTCCAACCAAATGGAAAGAAACCCTCCAACCAGCTATCCCCATGAACGATGTTGAGGCTAGTAGTACCGAACAGAGATTTCCAATGATGGCGCCAAGGTTTCCTGTTAGCTGAAGCCATCCAAATGCCATACCGCGATTGCTTTCATTAGTTGAATCAGCAACAAGAGACTGAATGGCTGGCATGACTATGGCAAGCCCAATACCATTTAGACCTCTTGAAATGGCCACCTAATTGAGCAGATGAAAAATCAAGCACTAGAGATGCAAGGAAAAACATGAGTTATTCTATCGTTTTTATTTGCAGAGAATATAAAGCATCGATCTTTTTAAAGAGTTTGCTAAGAATTCAGATTGGGAAAAATTTCTCATCAAAGAATCAAACTCCCCAATAATAATCATTATTTTGAACTCCTATTGTTCATTCCTTCATTATCTTCTAATACCTTCGTGGTTCCACAAAAAAGTTCATAGCCCTTCACGTTTCTAAGTACTGCTTCAAAAATTATGAAACATAAATCCAATTTAATGTCATCAGACCTCAGCTCAAAGAACATGTATACATTTCTGCAGAATCCTCTAATACCAACAAGTATGTCTAGCCTAAAACCTGATTATGGACTTGTCCTACATCAGAGAATGTAATTAAAATCTCTGTCTAGATTCCAATACATAGTCAAGTTCCAACTCAATATCCTTAACAATAATATAATGGATGTTGCAGCAAAGTCAATAAATCAATTGAAATGAATCTCAAACTAGCATTCATAAGCATAAACATGTTCTATAAATTTTACTAATTCAAAAGTTCTGATCAGTGGAATTGGTGTTTACATATTTAATTCAACTTACTGAAATTAGTGGACTTAAGAACAAAGGCATCAAATCAGTAATCAAAATGGTCACCTTTCCCTATTATCCATTTTTCGCATTCACATGGACAAAGGGCCATATTGAAATCATCTCCGTTCCTAATAAAGTCCATTAGGAACTTGTGTGTGCCCCATAAAATGAATTGTTCACTTTCCTCCATTCTATGAAGTATTGAAAGGTTTTTTTGTTGAAAGTGCAGCACTGCCTCAAGCCATACTTGTTGACTAAGCAATTGTGTTTTTGTCTTATCATTTAATGATTACACAAATTGCCTACCTTCTAACCTACTCCATACACATTTAGCTTAGTAACTTTTTCTACCTAGCCATACTTATTACCTTAGTTTCATGTAATGCATTGTCAAGCCACCCTCTCCACAATATCTCAATGTGGTTGTTTTTTGTTGACATTTTAGGCACTCCAACAAGTATAAACGGGGGTGCCTTGTTTTCATTTTAGCAAGTCAGCATAAGTGAGATTGTGTATTGTGTATTAAGAAGAGCTACATATAGAGTTCAAATAGAGAGTGGTGCGAGAATAATATTTGAATGTTTGTATTTTTTTAACGCCTTACAACTAAATTGTCATGAGTATTGAATAACTATTGTAATTGTACTATTAATTTATCATTTTTAGTAGGATAATAAATTTATGTTTCTAAATTGGGCCACTCCAAACTCAATATTTTGGTCTTCTGTTGATAAAAGGCCTTCATTATTGGAATGATACAAATCCAAAATCCAAAATCCAAAATATATTTCACAAAATGCTAGTTAGTGATGTAGCAACAAAGAGTCTCTAAATCTAAATCCTAGATCTTTGTCCCAAACAATTACCCCATTTTACAGACCAAACCCCTTCTCATTTGAACTAGATCTTCCCATGTAACTATATAAGCACCCCAAAATGTGTCTCTTCGAATTGTAAAAAAGACATCCAAAACAACCATAAAATGCCACCCCAAAAGGAAAAAGAAAATAACGAAATTAAGTAAAATCTCCACAAAAAGAGAGAGAGAGAGAGAGAGATCAAAGACAAACCTGTAAAAAAGTAGAGGATATGGCAACAAGGAAGGTGGCAGCAGCCCAGAGAAAAGCACCAAGAGCAATAACATGAGCACGATTATGATGCACAGCAAGGTAAGCTGCTAGTGGGTAACAAGAAGACTGAACAACTGATCTAATCAAAGTGAGTGAACCCAGTCCAGTTGGGTCTGTATGTAGAGCTGCACCAACTTCTTTATACACTCCTGGCAACAAGGACTCGTCAGCTCTCTGCATAATCCCCGCAAGATTCACCAGCGTCAATGTTAGTGTCTCCTCTTTCATTTTCAAATCTAATCTTTATCAACTCAATATCCTCTGTTTATTTCCAAAAATCGACCATCCTGTGTTTCTTTTTCCCTTTTTAGTGAGTATTTACCATGAGAACAAAAGAGAGGCATAACTATGTCGCTGTAGCACTATGGTTGACCAAAAAAACTGCTAGAATTTCTGGACATGTAACAGCTAGTTTGCAAACCTCCCTTGAAGTCAATGTTATGTTAAAAAGCTTCTGTAATGTTGAGCAACTTGGTTGTTGCTTGATGTTGATGTAATGTAATGCAGAGTTGTGCACAAGTTGTAATATTAAAAGTAATATTCAGATCAATGGAGTAAATCTAATGACAATTAACAAGTTGATCATGTGCTTAAAGGGCCTCGCTCAAGATGTATATTAGTTTAATTTGCTTGTGTCATGGGGAAGAGACATCATGTGATTATAAAAACATTAAATCTGTTCTGTATAGCAGACCTCTCGATGTTATTGATGTATTGGTTTACATTAGAATGTCATTCGGTCATCAGAAATAAAAAATTTAGAATGAAAATTTATAAATCAAAATAAAAATTAAAAATCAAAATATTATTTGTATTTTCATTCTAATAAAAATCGAAATAAAACTTAAGTTTTTTTAATATATTATTTTTAATTCGAATAAAAATAATAATTAAAAAATAATTTCATCAAGTATGATTATAATAAAAATAATTATAGTCATGGTGGTGATGGAGTAAGAAGAGACGATAATAATAACAACAATATATATTTAAAAAAAAAATGATATCATTATCATCAAAAGTGGTAGTGGTAATTGTTGGAGAAAAGTAGTCATAGTCTAATAGAATAATAATAATAATATTTTTTTATCGCTATCATCAATAATAGTAGTAGCGGTTGCGATAGTGATAAAAATAATTAATATATAATAAATAAAAAATATATCATTATTTAAAAAAATTATTTTTTATTTTTATTTTCATCTTCCATGTAAGAATGAAATTAGATGTAATTTTTATTTTATTTTTTACTTTTCATTCTGACTCTCATTTTATTTTTTTCAACTAAATAGGTAAAAGATAGAAATAAAATTTTGATTCGGATTTTCATCACTTCATTTGACAACCAAACAGCACCTTCAGGTTTCAGAACCAAATTAGATCCGAAGCAAATGGAAATTATTGCCTCCGTCCTGGCGGGAATTGCCGAATTGACGATTAGCACGAAAAAAAAAAAAAATTTGGCCCCTGTTTCTTGGAGGAAAAATATCCAAGTTAGCCCTTGTATTTGTGCCAATTCAAAACATCATCCCTTAAGACAATATTTCATCAGATTTACCCTATATTCGTCAAAACCGATTGGATTAAATTATAAACAAACTAGGATGAATTTATCCTATAGTTAGAGATTATATGTTTACAATTCAAGCTGATTGGATTGAATTGATGAAATTTTTCCATATGGATTCATTTATCGAATTGATACAATTACATAAATTAAGTTGAGAGATGTTTCATTTCTGGAAAGATCGTTGGCTTCTTATCTAAAGCCTATTCTTGAGGAATTTTGACAGGCCAATCCTAATTGTAGTTAAACGTAATGGATCTGGCTCCTTTCAAGTTTAATTCCTCAATTTCCGTAAAATGGTGTTTTACATATATAACACCTCATCAAAAGAAATAAACTAGTCAATAAAAACAAAAATCATTAAAAAAATTTAAATTTCAAAATTCTATTATTGTTGATGTGAAATAGAGATAAAATATTTTGTTGCCTCCGATCCTTCAATTAAAATCTTTATCTACATAAAGACTATTCTTGTACTATCCTCCTTTTGATTATCAAAACAATCATCTTGTGAATTTTGAGCCATTGATTAAAAAAAGTGAGCATAAGCAATAAGATCCTAGTTTAGTTTTTGTTTTGCAAGAATTAATAGTAAACCTTAGACCTATAAGTGGTCTTATCGGGATCGTATGAACCAAATTGTGAGTAGAGAAATACGGCATCATCATCTACAGTCCAAAATAAAAGTTGTGGCACTTTGAGAATTAATAGCAGGGTTTGTGCTTCCCTCCGTCATCAATTGAATTAAAAAGAAACTAAAAGATATGGGGTAAAATGAACAGTATTTATTGTTTATTTGTCCAAAATAATTATTCATTAGGAGGTAATTTGGATAATTTTTGCCGGTGCTTTTTTTGTGAATATTTCGGCATTCATTTGGGAATTTAACATTTTTTTATATTTTTGTCCCTCATGTTTTTTCAAAATATTTTTTATCCTCATGTTTTTAAAATATATTTGTGGTCCTTAAATGAAAAGAAAAAAGACAAAAAAAAAAAAAAAAAAAGCTACAGTTAGGCTAAATTTCAGTGTTTTTTTTCTTTTTTCTCTCAGCTTTATACCCTTCTATTCATATGATAGAATCCGTTTCTGAGTCCCTTCCAAACTAGTGTACTTTTTATGAAATTCTTAAATCTTAGGGTTGTTTTTCGGGGATGTCGACATTCTTTTTTTTTTTTTTTTAATGGAAATTGATGATGATTGTGATTGGAAGAGTATAATTGAGAAACTTGAAATTTTCGGAACCTAACTGAAAAAAGTGCTTTCTTGACATGATGAAATTTCGGAGCAAATTATAAATTAATCCCACTTTGAAAAATGAATTAGTTAATTTTTTATTTCAAAAACTAATTCTTTTTATTTTTATAACTAGATTTTTTGCTCGCCCTACGCTGCAGAGTTGGATAAAATACATAAAATCATTTCAGTTTGATAGTTTACTTTATGGTATGAATCTATAAAAATATATGAAATCAAAAGTAAAAAAAATATTTATAATTTTTTAATAAAAAATTTTGTATTTAGCTATTTCTTATTTGTGTTTTTCATAATGTTTTCTTTACAAAAAGGATTTATCCTTATTAATCCATGGATTATTAACTAAAAAGAAAATTAAATAATTTTTTTAAAAAAAAAGCTTTAGTATTTCATAAAATTGTGTCAAAAAACAAAAATAACAATTACTAAAAGCTTACATAGAATTGAACAAATTTTTTTATTTTTATTTCATGTTGATGAGAATATCGATTTTTGAAAAAACATGTGAATTTAATTTTTATATTTTTTTTACAAAAGAATGAATAATATTAAAATATATCAAAATTTTCGGTAAATATAATTTGAAATTAATTTGATGAGAATTTAAAAGAAATGAAAAATTAAAGCGAGTACATTTTAAATAATAAAAATAGTTAACAAAAAACACTAAAACAAAATGGGACCAAATCACAATACAATTAAAGTTTGAAATTGAAAAAAAAATGTATAGAAAAATCGAGAACCATATAATTTTAAATGAATTTGATGAAAAAAAAATTAAAAAAAAAGTAAATAATTTTTTTTTATAAAGCTTTAGTATTTCATAAGATTGTATCGAAAAAATTATTAAAAGCTCACATAGAATTAAACAAATAATTTTTATTTTTATTTAATATTGATGAGAATATCGATTTTTGAAAAAAATATGAATTTAATTTTTATATATTTTATTTACAAAAGAATGAATAATATTAAAATAAATCAAAACTATCATTAAATGTAATTTTAAATTAATTGGATGAAAATTTGAAAAAAATAACAAATTAAAGTTGTAAATTTTAAATAATAAAAATAATCAACAAAAAACACTAAAACAAAATGGGACCAAATCACAATAAAATTAAAGTTTGAAATTTAAAATATATATATATATATATATAGAAAATTTGAGGACCATATAATTTTAAATCAATTGGATGAGAATTTTAAAAAAATGACAAATTAAAGTAGTAAATTTTAAATAATAAAAATAATTAATTAAAAACACTAAAATAAAATGAAACCAAATCACAATATAATTAAAGTTTGAAATTAAAAAAAATATATATAAAAAAATTAAGGGCCAAAGTGTTAAAAAAAAGTTATGCATAACGAAAGGAATAGTGATTTGTGTGTGTGTGAACAGTGTTTGTACCAATAACTGGAGGTTTTGTTTTAGTTTGTTTTATATTTTTGTGACCTAATATTTTTATTTATTTTCAATTTATTCTGATTTTTTGTTTTAATAAATAGAAAAAGTATACTTGATGAGAAAAAAAATATTTTATGAAATGAAGTAATATTAAATTAAATACGATCAATTTACTATCAATAACTTAAATAATTAATTTTTCAAAAAAAAACTAAATTATTATTTAACATTCACTATAGCCTGTCATCGGATGACTAACTGGAGGTTTGTCCAAAAAAAAGGATTTTTCCAGTTGCTTCGGGTGCACATGACGTACACCTAAACAGTAGACTTTTCTATGTTTCGGTAATGTGCTTTAAAATGTTTTTCCGGTGAGTTTTTTTAAATTTTTTTTTCATATATGTAATTTTCGGAAAATTAGAGATTGGGTAGCTAGTTGCCCAGTAGAATGATTTGATAGCATCCGAGGTCCTTAATAGTTTTGATTTCTAACGCACTACATCTTCCCGGCAAAGAAAAACTAAGCACAATTTTTGTTTATTATTAATCGATATTTTTTCGACAACTACTCATTCAAACTTATTTTACTATCTACACAAATTAATATACATTATTCATTTACTATACGATGATATTTTTATAGTTTTTAAACTTTTTAAAAATATTTATTATAAAAGTTTTTGTGATATTACGTTTTAGTTTTTCATTTTTAAATATTATTTTTTCGATCTGTAATTTTTTTATTTTATCTTGGTTATTCTAGCCTTTGTCGTTTTTTTCCTGATTTTTTTAATTAAAAATTTTAAGATAACAAAATATTTTTAAAAAATAATTTACAAAATAAGGCTTTTAGCTAAGAATTCATTGATTTTGACATTTTTTTCTTGCATTATTATAAATTTATTAGTTAAGAATGTGGATAGAGATAAATAAATAGTATTTTTTAATCAAAAAATATAAAGAATAATTATTCAAATACAAAATTTTAATTAA